CAAGATTAAATCCAATGAAGGGTTAAGATGGAGTCAACCAAAGGAAAAAGTCCACCTAATTTTTGCCTATAAATATGGGTGGTAGGAAAATTAGAAACATGTTGGAAAATTGAAAAATTTAGGGGAAACTCTTGCAAATTTTTCTTAGAACTCCACTCAAATTTTTATCTAAACACCTTAAATTATCTAATTAAGCAAGGAATTCAAGTTAGAAGATCAAGGATCATAAAGGGGGAAATTTGGAGTTTGGGTTGAAATATAGAGAGAAAAAGGGGAAGAAGAAATTATAAGGAAATCCAACTTTTCAAAGGTTAATTGGAGCTCATTTATGTAAGTTAATCTCACTTACACTACAAGGAGTGTTTAATGAATTTCAATTGATGGTTTGGTACCTTAACTTTATGTTTAATTGCCTTAATTTTGAAAATTGTGGTTAGGGTTCTCAGTTAGAAAAAATTTAAAGGGAATGAATTTAAGCTAGAAATTCATGAAATTGAGTTCAAAATAGGTTAATTGGGCTTAAAATTGAGAAGGAAAAATCAAAATTTCCTAGGGTTAGGAGAGAGAAAAGTTTTGGCCCAAAATTTTAATTTAGGAGTTTTTGTTGCTTTGATTTGTTTGATGTTCTACTCGCTTGATTATGTATTCATTAGGTATGAATTGATGGTTAAGTGTGAAAAATTGCATTAAAAATGAGGAATGTTTCTTCAATTTCTTAGGGGTGCATTTGGCCCAAACTATGGAATTTTAGGGGTTTGATTTCTTTACCTACTTAATGAATTATTGGTTAATTAGGAGTTAATTAAGTATGAATTAATAAATGAGAATGAGAAATTTCATAAAAATTGAAGAATTTCACCTAATTAGCTTAGGCCCAAATTCAAGCCAATTAGGAGAAAAGTTAGGGTTTCTATACTTTTGATTTCATATAGTTTAATAGATGAATTCTAAGTTAGTTTAACTTAGAAGATGGGTTAGTATGGAAGAATTCATTAAAAATGAAAAATTAACCTAAACTACCTTAATTAGGGAACCCCATCAAGGCGCAATTAGGATTTATGCATGTATTTAGCCAACGATTGCTTACTTAATTAATTTCTTGATATGGTAATGTAATTAAATGAGTTAGTGTGAAAAGTTAGTCTTAAGATTGGGAAAAATTATCTAACCTAAGTTTAAGGCACATTTGGCTAACTTAGGAAAAATTAGGGTTTTTGTTTTAGTTTATATAATTTATCGGTGATTTGATTCTTTGATGCCCATTTGGTGTGTTTAATGTGTTTATGATGTGTGTAAGTTGTGATATTGTTGAATATGGAAGTGCATTGCTTTATGTTGTGTAATCATGTTATTATTTGGAATGGTTTGGAATGATTTTAATGTGGTAATGTTTATGGTGCATTTTATATTATTAAAGTATGCATTGTCATGACATAAATGCAACTCACTCATGGCATGCATTTCATGAAACTATATTGGTTATGCATTTACAATAAAATGCATATGCATGTTAAGTTTATGAAGATGGTTTAAAGTCATGAAATAGAGGATTTTATGTCAAAGCTTTTCCAATAGCAATTGGAAGCATTTTATGATTATAAGGTTTTCATGACTTTCATGGTAATGGTTTTCATGGTTTTATAAAAGAGCTTTATGTGTTCCATGGCTTTCATGATTCATGATTCATGGTTTATATGGGTTGAGTGGTGTAGACGTGCACTAAGGCTCGACAAGGTACGTCCGCAAATTGGTCGAGTTCGCTAGACATTTCATGGAAAGCCCCGAAGTTCCTATAATGGAACATGTTCAAAGATAGAAAAGAATTTTCGGATCGATCATGACTAGGATTTTATGACATGAAAAAGGATTTAAGATGAAAATGCATATGATTTTCATATGCATGTATAGATTAACTTACCGAGTCGTCGCTCACCTAATTTCTTGGGTTATAGATAATAGTGGTAAAGTTGGCAATGTTGTCATGTGAAGTGCTTTTCGGATGATCAATGCGCCATGTGTATTTTGGATGTGGGTTCGATAGTAAAGTGAACTTCCTTCAAGTAACTATTTTCTTAGAGCTCGATGTTATAATTTATGTACCGAGGATGGCAGCTTTATTCTATCCAAGTAGTTAAAGCTATGAATCAAATAATTAAGTAAATGGTGATGTAATGTAAATGAGTAAATAAGTCATTTTTGTAGCAGATGACATAAGTTGTTTTGTACTCGAAATAGATGTAGTTGTATATAATTAAACCTAAAACAAATCAATATTAGTGTAGTGACTTAGCTTGGATTAGTACTAGTTTCTTTTAGTTAATTCTTTATATATAAATGCCAAAAATAAATCATGATCTTAAAATTAATGTGTAAAATAATAATAATAAAAAGGTAATTACGATAAATAAAAGGAATCAATTGTCGATTAACAAGTAATTAATAAATAAATTATTACGTACTAATAGAAAAGGAATTTAGGAAAATCGAGCTTCATAGATTCGATCCGTTCGATCCAAGCGTTCTAAATAAAATAATAAAATGCAAACAATTTATAATGCATTTTGGATTGAAACGTAGGAACTATTTATCATTTATAGGTTTCGCAACGTAGTCCATACCTAGTAGTGTCATAGAAAAGACTTAGTGTCTTGTTGATTTGTATTCATCGCATTTCGAATGTAGGTTAACGATTGTAATATTCTGAATCTACAAGGTCCTAGGTCCGGGGTGTTACAATATGAATGCTAGAAGGTCATCCTACAAAAAAATCATCAAGTTCTCTAGACCAATTTACTCTCATTAAGAGGGAAAGACATGCAGTTCATTCTTTAATGAAGTATTATTAGCCTCATCTTAGAAACCATGCGATTTTAAAGCCACCAAAAGTGTCTCGACATGAGTTTCTTCAAAATTTTTCTAATTAATACTTTCTATAAAATTACGAGTGAGAAAGGCCCAAACTTATGATGGCTCGAACTCTAACTTGAAAGAATGGGAGAATAATGCAAGAGCATAAATGTAGCCTCAATATCAATTTTTTTTTTTTTATTCATCGAGTCTTATTTAATGTAGTTTCAATAAAACTTTGCTAGAAACTAGTAGGCTTTATAGAAAACTCGAATTATCCTTTAAATTCTCATCTTGAAAATGTGTTATACCTTTAATTGTTAAGAAGTGCAATGACTATCTTTTCTACTATTTATACATAAAATTAGAATTTTCATTTCAATAGAAAACTTTTATCTAGCAAGAATCCATGCTTAGAGTTAACCGAGTCTTCCTAAATAAAGCAAATAAGTGGTTTTATGATTATTTGTGTTGAGTGGCATCTGCTATCCCCAGTTGAGTTGCATTCGGGACAACCTTCCTTACGTCTTAATCCCTTTTTCCTTTTATTGTTCCCATCATTTGCAAGCCCCTAAAACCAACTTGCATTAAGTAATGGTATCGAGCTTTGAAATGAAGCTATTCCTAGTGTGCTACATGAGATTCTATCGTAACTTTTCCGATTAAATTATACTAATTGGTAGGTCTTCATAAGACTTACTATATACCTCTAGAAAACTCTTTTTTGTCTACTACCGTAGAATTTGATTTTGAATTTTCTCCCAGGAGATATCAATAATTGACCTAGTGAAAGTCAAGTTGTCAACTACCGTAGAATTTTTATTATGCTCTTTGAAAATAGTCAAAATGGTGCATGAAATTGATGTTTACATGAAGATGTTTTTCTTTAAGTTTGTTAAGTTGTTTGATTTATGTTGTGCAAAAGATTTCTAAAGTTAATTGGGAATTACCTTATGTGTACGATATATATGAAGATTGGGCTGAAAGAGATAAGATCGATGAAAAGGAGAATGATGTTGATGGTAGAGAATTGTTGGCAAATAAAAAAGCTTTGAATTTAGAGATCATGTCAAAAGATAAAATAAGCTTTGCTGAAATTTCGAAAGAGAATGGTTAGGTTGCGGGTTTTTAGTATGATGACACGTAGAATAAGAAATTCAATTGTACAAAAGGAATGGACTTTTTTCTTGGCGAGAATTATGGTAAACAAATAAAGGGCAAAAAAAAAAAAAAAAAGGAATGAAACAAACCAAAATTTGCTAGGACACTAAAAAACTAAGCCGAAATGACCACTAAACTTCACAACTCTTTACTACTATGATAAAACTCTCAAATATTTTATTTGATGAATGAATGAATGATGAAACATAATCGATAAGGGCTTTATATAGGCTGCTAAGAATTAATATCCTCCTTGAAAAATTGATGGCATCAACATTTTCCAAAATGGAAACAAATTTGAAGCTTGACCAATATGGTGGCTACAAGTTACAAAAATCAAACTTTGGAAAGTAACGTGTTGAAGATTGACCTAATGTCCTACATTAGTCCTTTCCACTTATTAAGAACTTACCCTCAAGTTAGGTGGCGAGAGGATGTAGTGGGAGATGATAGTGGATGTAATGGTGGTGGGTTTGAGCTTTATTACGATGATGAAAGCCGCACTATTTTACCTTTGAATCGAGCGAGTTTTTTCTTTTCGTGGTTGCGAAAGCGGTTGAGATCGGTAGTTTTTTAGTTGAGGCGGAAGAGAAGGGAAAAAACGAGGCCGATATATTGGGTTCCAAGATTCCGCAACATTTGCTACATTCACATTTGATTATCTTTTTCTTTTTTTGAGAGTTGGTTTAATTAATGGGTTTGGACTTTGTCTTATAAATTGGACAGTAATTCTTTTCTAACTGTATTTTTCGATCTTTCAATCTTTTAAATTTTCAACTTGAAAATAGTAAGTAAGTTATGAAGAATTTGCAATATATCAAAAAGATATTATATTTAGGAGCTCCATTGAGTATAAATACAGATTTGGAGGACTAAGTTTAGATTTCAGAAGCCCACCTCTCTCTCTCTCTCTCTCTCTCTCGGTGTAAATAACCAAAGCAAACCAAATCACACACAGAGTTTCTCCCTCTATATCTGAATCCAAATCCAAAATGGCAGTGGATCCGATCCAAGCACCACCACCACCAAGATCCGCTACCGATCTCTTCTCGGACCCACTTGATTCCCACCCGTTATGGTTCAAACCGGACCTTTTCCTCTCTCCGAATTTCGACACTGACTCTTACATTTCGGAGCTCCGAACTTTTGTCCCCTTCGACACTCTCCGATCGGAACTCCGATCACACTTAACTTCCCTAAATCACGAACTAATCGATTTAATCAACCGTGATTACGCAGATTTTGTTAATTTAAGTACCAAACTTGTTGATGTGGATTCTGCTGTTGTTCGGATGCGGGCTCCGTTATTGGAGCTCCGAGAGAAGATTGAAGGTTTTAGAGGGAGTGTGGACTCGTCTCTTGTGGCTTTGAAGAATGGATTGGGGCAGAGATCGGAAGCGGCAGCGACTAGAGAGGTTTTGGAGCTGTTGTTGGATACGTTTCATGTTGTTTCTAAGGTATAACGTCGTTTTGTTTGATTGGATTCTCTCGTTCTGGAAATCTAGTTAAATGTACTAGATCTAACTACAATTTCTGTAGAATTGGAATGCCGGTTGGGAGATGTCGTTTTGAGAATGAGTGCGTTTTGTAGAGTGAAAAGATGCTACATCTTAGAAGCCTGTAGAATTTGAATAGATAATTCAAGGGTTTGTTTTGCTAATCAGGTTTTCGATATGCTGAATTCTTGTTTTTCTTTTTTCAGTAATTTCTAGTTGTATATATTTTGATGAGTGCAGGTTGAGAAACTGATAAAGGAGCTACCGAGTGTGCCTGCTGATTGGTCGAATGGAGATGTGAATGTCACGGAAAAGAATGCTGCGAGCAATGGCAACATTGAGAATGGAACAAACGTCAGAGAGACTCAAAGCATGCTTTTGGAGAGAATTGCCAGCGAGATGAATCGACTTAAGTTCTACATTGCTCACGCCCAGGTCTGCGTTGCTCATTCTTACGTTTTTTTTTTTTTTTTTTTTTTTCCTCTCACTTGTAGTTGCAAATTTTATAGAATTCATAAAATGTAGTTAAGTCAGTGATACTTTCGTTGGAGGTCGTACAATTTGTGCTCATGTCTATTCTCTGTTATGCCAGTACAGAACCTCCCTTTCATTCAGAACATGGAGAAGAGAATTCAAAGTGCGAGCCTGTTGTTGGACGCAAGTTTGGGACATTGTTTTGTAGATGGACTAGAGCACCGAGATGAAAATGTAATCTATAATTGCTTACGTGCTTATGCTGCTATTGATAATACCAGTAGTGCAGAGGAAATTTTTCGCACGACTGTGGTGGCTCCATTAATACAGAAAATTATTCCACATGGAGCATCAGGAGTGGTCGTTGGCACATCTAGAGATGGGCTTGAAGATGACTATCAAGAAATCAAGAAATGTATTGAGAAGGACTGTAAATTCCTTTTAGAAATATCTTCTGCAGGTACTTCCATATATTTATTTTATCACATTTATCCTCGCAACCTGGTGAAGCCTCGCCATAATTATTTGGCTTTCATGAAATATGTTAATTTTTGTAGCTTTGTTTTGGGCCTGGAGTTGAGTTATTGATCCTTTTCAACATCTTTCTCTGCGTCTGATCCAAGCTGCATTACTGCTTACCATAGTCACTGGTCTCAATTTCTTGGGAGACCAATTTGTCTGACTTTATATCATTTTTTTGGAGTCGTCCTTCTCTTCTTGTGCAGTCACCCTGTTTAGCTTGCATGTTCTAGGTACATGCTTGTTCAATGAACAGTTGTTTTACATAAAGCATTTAAATTGTTGTGCCCCTGTTGAACAATATTTTTTATACTCATATACTTGCAAGTTATCCTGCTATTTTTTGGTCTACATACATTTTTCAGAACTTTTATCCCCTTCATCCTGAAGGCATGCCCATAAATATACTTTGTTCCTGTAACTTTGAATGCTACTTATTGTTTCTGTTCTTTTTTTTTTTTTTTTTTTTCCAGAAAATTCAGGGTTGCATGTATTTGACTTCTTGGCTAATTCAATTCTAAAGGAGATTCTCTCTGCAATTCAAAAGGGAAAGCCTGGTGCTTTTTCCCCTGGAAGACCAACTGAATTCTTGATAAATTACAAATCAAGCCTAGACTTCTTGGCTCATCTTGAAGGTAGCACACAGCACCTTTTTTTTTTTTTTTTTCACTTTGTTCTGTTTTATATTACTCCCTCAGGATTAAGAAAGTTTGCAGACTGATATGGTTATACTGTTCAATTATATGAAAATATATGATGTTCATTGTAGTTATAACGTCCAATTGTCATGCAAGGCTATTGTCCATCAAGATCTGCTGTCACTAAATTTCGAGCTGAAGCCGTCTACATTGAGTTCATGAAACAATGGAATGTTGGGGTTTATTTCTCCTTGAGGTATGCAGCATAACTTGTAGATGTTATCTTTCTATGCTTATTTTGAGCTGAGATTGCTGTTCATCTAAATTTATTTAGTGCATGTGTCACGAGGCTGATCTTGCATCTGGTCAAGACAGGTTCCAGGAAATAGCTGGTGCTCTGGATTCTGCACTTGCAGCAACCAGTCTTATTCCAGTCCACAGTTCACATTCTGGTCATGGAAATTCCCAAGATTTAACATTAAAGCAAAGCGTCACTTTTTTGGAGAGCCTGAGATCTTGCTGGAGAGAAGATGTTCTTATAGTCTCTTGCGCGGACAAGTTTCTTCGCTTAACATTGCAGCTTCTTTCAAGGTCAGTTTGATTGAGAATGGACTTGTCCATTCAGATGATGTACCAATGTTTGACTGCTATTGTTTGTTTGATTGGATATTTTTTTTTTTAGTATTTATAAAAGATTATCGAAACGACTAACCACTTACGAATGTCTAACAGATTCTCAAATTGGTTGTCATCTGGTCTGGCTGCTCGTAAGATGGGTAATACTGGCCCAAACTCTGGATACAAATGGGCAGCTTCAGCAGTTCCTAATGATTTTCTCTATGTATGTGTCGTGTCATGATTCTACTATTTGTCTTTCATTTGACATGAATATGAACCTTGAAATCATGATCAGAAGAGTGCCTTAGGCCAAAGTTTTTGATATCTCATAGATTTATACATCCCCACTGCAATCCATTTGCAGTCTAGTGCAAACCCGGTTGACATAAACCATCCCTTGAATAAGCTTGACCTTGCTTAAGTGAGAGATAATTTGAATGGCCCGCAACAGTTAATTTGCATCAAGCGAGTCATGAACTTGACTTGCTCTGTGAATCGTCATCCCACTACTGGAACTTCATGGCCCTAACTTTTTCACATTATTTGAAGAATGATGCTAAAGATATTAACTTCTTTACGTATTAAATTTTACCAGCCAATGAACCAACTAACACCATATTATACAATAACTATTTAATGTAATAATAGCAAGTGTGTATGAAATGTGTTAATTGTCCTGTTACTGTGATTGAAGAACAGTTTCTATATAATAGGTGCCACATTGATTAGTTGCAAATAAGGATTCATGCCATATGCATGAATTATCATGATTGTGCTTAACCAGCATTTTTATAGAGGCTCTTTAATTTGCAGATTATTCATGACATAAATTGTCTGGCCACAGAGGTTTGTGGAGATTACCTTGAGCATGTACTTAAGCTTCTATCTTCATGTTCTGCTGGTATACTTGATCTAGTAAAACAAAGCATTTTACAAGGTGGGAAATCATTACATGATTTAACACCTCTTGCTATCAATGCAATCACTGAGGCACTAGTTGATGAGGCTGTTAAGGTGAGCTCCATTTGGATTGACTTTGTTTGACAATGCTTGACTTCCTTTTTCCTTGAATCTTTTCTAGATGTAATGTTGCCATAAAAGATCTTAACTTGATAATGCAACATATTGAAACATTATTCCTGACAGTGTTCAATTAGTGTTATGAATATTTAGTAGCAAAGATTTTTGCACAGGGCTTGAAGGATGTGAAGGCAATTGCTACGACTTTCAGGATGACTAATAAGCCTATTCCTACCAGACATTCACTGTACGTATCTGGGTTGTTAACTCCCTTAAAGAAGGTATATATAGTCTTCTTTGCTTGTAACTCTTGTTTACCCTTTAAATAGCTCTCCTTAGATTTGGCTGGTAAACTCAGTAGTCTATTTGTCCTCCTTTCATACTGTCTAAGAAGAATATGCACATGGTTGGCCGTTGGCACAACACTCCCACTGAAATAATACTCATGCACGTGCAAATGGTTGCTAGGGTCAGTTGCTCGGCACTAATGATCATAACAAAGTAGCACTTGATCTTTCAAGGCTTGATGGACTCATTTACTTTTATGTTAAAATAAAAATTAAAAAAAAAAATCATTTACTTTCACTCATATTGACTGTTAGGTCTAATGTCATTTAAGTAATATTATGATTTCTGCTCTAGTATAATTCTTTAGTCATTACATATTCTTCCCTGACCTCTTTCTTTTTTTCCTCTGGCTGCAGCCTTCCACCGACGTAGTTTGTCCTATGTTATAATATTTTAGCATGAGCTTCAAACATACTGATATCATTGTGGATTAGTTTTATCATAAACTTTGCATTGACTCCATGACTTTGCCTCTAGGATTTTCTGGATATGGAGAAACATAATCCTTATTTGACTAAGGAGACCATTAATGAATTACGGCATGGTGCTGCAACTGCAATTACTGGTCGTTATTATGACATGGTTGCTGAAATTGTCAGTGTGGTTAGTGTCCAAATTAAATTTTTTTTTTTTTTTTTAATCTGACTGGACCTTTATTTTAAAATCCTCAAATTTAATATGTTCATTTGTCATGCTCAGGCTAGGAAGACAGAGTCCTCACTCCAGAGATTAAAGAAGGGTGCCCAAAGACGAGCTGGAGTGAGCTCAGATGTCTCAGACCCTACCGTATCTGATACTGACAAGCTATGCATGCAATATTTCCTTGATATTCAGGTGAGCATCGCCCTTTGTCTCCTATATTTCACCCACAATCGCATACCCACAAGCACAAACATGCATACAGCCATAGTCACTTCCACACAAATAGAGGAACAGTTGCTCTATGTTTGCAAATAAAATTGTCTCTCTATTGGACTTACGTGTATGTAATTTATTAGGAGTATGGGCGCACCCTCTCTACCCTTGGGGTTGATGCAAAAGAAATTCCAGCATATCGATCCTTGTGGCAATGTGTTGCTCCTTCAGATAGAGAAAATGTGATCAATTTGTGAGAGTTGGCATTGCTTGCCAGCTGTTTCTCATCTACTTTCATTTGTCAATTCAATATACATAAACATATATTTTCTGTAAATTGAGTTCAAAGAAGTGCATTTTTTTTTTTTTTTTTACTTCATAAAATTATCCTAGGTTCTCTTGGAAATCCATTGCTAGTATTTTTTTTCCCCTTCTTTTCCATTAGAGAATTTTGTAATAGCAACTTTGATTTCTTACGTAGTGTTCAAATTATTAGTAGATAATAAAGCAATTTTAATCTCATGGCCAATTCTCTTCATCAACTCTGTTACCACCTTATATGCAGTCAAGATTATTGTCGTTTACTTGGTACATTAGAGATTACCAATTGATCGGAGATGGCTGTTTCCAGTTGCAAATGCTATCAAAAAACGAGTAAAGTACAGGGGTAAGAAACGTGGGTTTTTCCAGTTTGTGCTTGGTGCATACAAACCACAATATATTGTACCCTCCGTTTGGCTATCCTTGACTTCTAGGAGGGGTTTGCTTTTTCCTCTCCTTGGAGCCACGGCTTGGGCTCCAACTTGGAAAGCAGCAGTTTGCTCTGCCTGTATTTGTTGAATTTCCATCCGTCGGAGATAAATGGCAGGCTGCAACACGAGTGGATGCAATTTCTTGACTCCATTGGCTATCCTGTAAGAGCTCGACAAGTTTTGTCTCATTGGAGATGGGTGCAATGCTATCGTGATCATTGGCGTGGCCACTCCAAAAGGGTTCTCGTAACAGCTCAGCAAGTTTCTTGTTTTCATCAACAGGAGAAGGTTCTTGTTCGGAGTTACCTAGTTTTATCCCCTGGGTGGTAGGCGGCATGCTTTTATGGTCATCAACTTGATAACTTTTACTCGAGAAGCCATCATGGAAGGGCTCAACAAGTTTCTCCCTTCCCTCTGTTGGAGTTTCTCCCTTGATGCTGCTTTGACGGCTCCAAGCACCGCTATAATCTGAAAGTTAAAAATAATAAATTAAAGGATTGTCAAAAGTCAAAACCTGATCTCATGTCTCAACTGCCAACAGGAGGGGGTCCTTCGCCAACAGAAAATTGTGAAAAAACCAGCATTCTTTTGGGTGATTGATGGTGTTTTCTTGCTATAATCGCAAGGAACAGAGAGTAAATGATCAATAAAATTTAATCCTCATAGGGTTTATTGAGGATGATAAGAGTTTATTCAGGGTGCTGTTTAGGTCATGGCACTTGAAATTCTTGAGGCATGCATGAACTCATTTGCACCTAATATGGAGACAAGAAAGAAATTTAGAAATTAAGGTAGAGGAAAGGTATCTTACCGCCTTTGGCACTGAAGAAATCATCATCAGATTCTGATCCTATCCAGTCTTGGCAATCATAAAAGTTATCTTTGCTAACTGCATATAAAATGCAAAGTATGATTTATATATATATAAGCAGCTTTCAAACCCAGAACTGTGAAATTGAACATGTGATTGTCAAGAACGTAGAAAACACAAGGCAGTTAAAATCTATAGATCTCTGTTTCCTGTACGCAGAGGTCCATATTATTCAGACTTTTTGCTTGGGATATGCTCATAAAATCATGATCTTATCTGAACATTTTGCTGCATAATTCTGGCTAAATGTCTTTAGAAACTGTACGTGAATAATTGATGCAAGGAGCAGCAGAAATTAACCAATCATACCGATGTCTTGGGATTTTGTCATTGCTGATGCTGTGGAAGACTGATCAGAATCCAAACTGTTTTTGGCATCTGGATTATCTGCAACGGAAAGACTTTCCTTGGAATAAGATGGATTATAAACCTTGTCTGTTTCATTACTTGATGAGTTCAGTGTTTCACTGACTGAAACATCAATGTCATGGTAATTTGTCTCAGGAAGCACTATGGAAGACTGAACAGAATCCAAGCTGTTTTCAACCAATTGATCATCTGCAATGACCAGAATTTCCTCAGAAGAAGATTGCCTCGCGGATGAATTCAGTGTTTCATTGACTGAAACACTGATGTCTTGGGAATTTGTTGAAGGTGGGGCTAACGAAGACCGAGCAGAATCCAAACTGTTTTCGTCCATAGGATTATCTGTACCGACAGGAATTATCTTAGAAGAAGATGGCATGGAAGCCTTGTCCATTTTATTACTTGAAACTGAGTTCAGTGTTTCACTGAATGAAGCATCAATGTGTTGGGAATTTGTCTCGTGAAGCACTATGGAAGACTGATCAGAATCCAAGCTGTTTTCAACAATTTGATGATCTGCAATGACAATACTTTCCGTACAAGAAGATGGCATGGATACTTTGCCTGTTCCATTTCTCGAGGGTGAATTCAGCGTTTCATTGACTGAAACACTGATGTCCTGGGAATTTGTTGAAGGTGGTGCTAACGAAGACTGTTCAGATTCCAAACTGTTTTCGTCGATAGGATTATCTGAATTGACCGGACTTCCCTTAGAAGGAAATGGCATAGAAACCTTTTCCATTTCATGACTCGAAACTGAATTCAGTGTTTCATTGATTGAAACACTGTTGTCTTGGGAATCTGTCACTAGCAGCTCCATGGAAGACTGATCAGAATCCAAGCTGCTCTTGACAGGCTTATCTGCATCGGCTGGACTTTCCTGAGAAAAAGATAGGAAAGAAACCTCGTCTCTTTCATCACTCGTAGCTGAATTCGATGTTTCATTGACTGAAACACCAAAGTCTTGGGAACTTTTCACGGGCAGCACTATGGGAGTCTGATCAGAATCCAAACTGATTTTGGCAATTGGATTACCTGCAATGACAGGACTTTCCTCGGAAGAAGATGGAATAGAAACACTATTTGTTTCGTTGCTCACAGCTGAATTTAGTGTTTCATCGACTGAAACACTGAAGTCTTTCATATTTACCACAGGTGGCACCGTGGAAGACTGATTGGAATCAAACCTGCTATCAGTAGGATTATCTCCTTTGGCAGGACTTTCCTTGGAAGAAGATGGCATGGAAACCTTATCTCTTTCTTTATTCATAGATGAGTTTGGTGATTGACTGAAAGAAACACCGCAATCCATTTCCTTTGATAAGGCCTTTTCTTCACTATGCTTGAAATCTTTTTTATATACATATATTTTAAAATCTCACAAGAGGAGAAAAGAAGTGGAGGAAATGTAAAGTGGCTTTTAGGCTGAACTGGAAGAAAGAATATACCTCAAAGAAACAACAAGAAGAAGAAGTTAAAGAACAGAATAAGAGACCGTAGACAGCGAAGTTAATGAAAAAGATGTTGGAGCAAGTGCATTGGCAATGTCGATTGCCGAACAAGAGTTGGCTTTCTGGCTGTCATTTCTCTTACTTGTTGTCCTCAATCAGTAAAAAGACCCCAACTGCGTATTCAATACTTTGATTGGATCAATAAACATATCACATATACATCAAAATTACAGAGAAGTTTAAAAGTACTGTTCTTTTTTCTTTTTTCCAGTGTTCAATAAAATGTTTTGTCATTCATTTAGCAAAGGACATAGCCCAGATGCTTTAATGTCCATGTACTAATCATGGACATCAAGCTGAGTTACATAGGAGGAACAAAGTTGATTCACAGATTTGCTTCATCATAGGAGGCGTTATAACATTTGAATTACGTAAAGAAAAATCATGAAAAATTATGAAATTAATAAAAGAGTGAAACAATCAAGAAACTAGCATTATATTTACAAGATATAAAGAGAACCGATAATAAAAGGAACAATTGGTTTACATATGCAAGAGTACAATACCTAAGAACATCATTTCATCATAACCATAAATTCTTCAAAGCTAAGAACACCATCCCCATTAAGGTCAAACTTGTTTAACATCACTCTGCATTCATCAATCGATTTTGACTCGCCAAGTCTACCAAGCATTCTTTTCAAGTCCTTGGCTCTGATAAACCCACAATTTTCTTCATCATACAAGCGGAAAGCCTCCCTCAAATCGTGCAACTTCTCTTCTTCTCCTCCTGCTTCCATTAGTCTAACAAGATCCTCCAATCCCAACAAGCCATCTCCGTCCGAGTCCAATGACTTCACAGCAAGTTCTGCTTCTTTCATGGGTAACTCTCCAACTATCAAACCTAGACGGTGACTTAGCTCAGATGGCGAAACCTTCCCATCACCATTTTCGTCAAGGTGGCGAAAAACAACTTCAAATTCTCCAGCCTTAACCATGTTAGGATTTCTAAGATGACAAAGAAGAGATTAACTTGTTTTGCAAGTAAATAACAGAAATGTTACTTCTTGGTTTACGATACAACATGGAGGATTAAACATTCCTATTTATAAGTTTGAAGGCCGTGTTTGGCTTACAAGGTCTTTGGACTGACTATCTCCAACCCCCGAGGAAAAAGTTGTGTTAATGAATATTTAAATACAACAAAAGAAAGTTCAAAGGAGAGAAAAATGGTAAAAGGAGAATAAAAATGCCGTGGCTGCAATAATTTAGTATTTTCGCAGGCAAGAAGAAGGAACCTGACTGGACACGGAGAATTTCCACCGTGTAAAAGAATAATGGGTAATGGTCAACAACTGCCTTGACTATTTCTGTTTTACAGCACAAGTACGTAGGCCTAATTTCTTAACACTAGAGTTTTACAAGTACATGTCGTGTTCGATTCATGAAGCCAATAACCAGCGTAATTCTTAACTCTAGAGGTGGAAATGCAAGTCCACAGTCAGAATATTCTTATTCTCAAGCTTTTGGGTTGAGTTCATAAACTCACTCACGAGAATGTGATTTCAAGGACCTTTCCACAGTTTCAATAGCAAGAGTTTCTTTGAACCATGACGTTAATTTTTTTTTTTTTTTTTTTTAAATTCTGTGGTGTTTTTGGATGAAACCAAAGACATGAATCAAACATCCACAGTGTTGAAACTTCTTCCACCATGATGGGAAAATATGAAATCGTGACACGAAATGGGTTGATTGGTTATTGAAACAATCTGGACGTTGACCAAATGTAGGAAAATTCAAAATTCTGTTACAAGAAAATCTCTCTCTCTCTCTCTCCCTCTATGTATATATTTCTTGTAAAGTTTTGGGTACCTACTTAAAGTTACCATAAAAATAAATTTGAAGGGTTAGCATGTTGGTTAAGAAGACTTCATCTCTTAACTTCATAAATTAGAATTTTGGAATCGATAGTTAGGTGAATAAATTCCTCTAAATATATCACACTAATAAATACATATTTAAGATAAAGTTTAAATGCATAAACTATTGAAAATTCTTCGAATCGTCAAAATCCCTAACTTCGAAATACCATTCACGAGAATAAACCTAGTAATTAAAAAGGTTTGTTTCCTTGGAAATTTCTCTAGGCTACAGTAGGTTCGTATGGTATGGTAGATGTATTTTTAAAATCATTGATAAAAACAAAAATTAACCTCAATTTATATACAAAGTGGTTTAATAATATCTTTATTGATGAATGCAAATCTTTATTTTTATTTGATCGATAACACCGTTAAAGAGTCTCATCATATTTAAATTTGAAAAAATAAACTCGAAATGAAACCATACCGTCCTATGCATAACATAATGCAATACGACCGTCGTTGCGTCTTCTATCATCTTATATCCGGTAGACTAGGTAAAAAAAGACCCTAATTTATTTCTAGAATTAGAGTTGGAATAAAGAGAGAGAACTAAAGAAGTTTGTGAATCTATTGTGTATTGTGTATTTGATTAAAGTCTATACATGAGGTATTTATAGTACAAAGAATAACCAAAGATAAGAACAACTTAGCTAATAATAGTAACCATAACAAACTACAACAGAAAAAAGGAGCAAATTATGAGATAATCTATATCATTAGCATCCTTGGCAAGTCCTTTTCCATCTCGAAGCTGAAGTTTGTCGTGAAGAAAAAGAAGTGAGAGTGGGACAAAAGCTTGGTAAACAAGTCGATCACTTAATCTATAATGGACGAGCAAATGAACAACAATTACACTACTTGCCACTTGTTCACAAAGAAAGTGATAATCCAATTCAACATGCTTGGTGCGAGCATGAAAAACAGGATTAGAAGATAAGTAAATGGCGCCAATATTGTTGCACCAAAGTATAGTAGATAGAGCGAGGAATACCAATTTCAAGAAGTAATGATTTAATCCGTGCATAGTAACTCAAAAGTAGCATTTGCTATAGCTTATACTCATTTTTTGTTGATGAATGGGTAATGGTAGGTTGCTTCTTAACTAACCAACATACTATCATTTCCCAAAAAAAAAAAAAAAAAAAAATTCCATAACCAATTGTAGATCGTCGGTCATTTGGATCACCTCACTAATCACTATCAAGCATAACGAGTGAATATGAAAAAATAAGGTACAAGGAAGAAATAAATGATTGGACTTACTCTCTTGTAAATACCAAAGCAACCTTTTTAAAGCTTTCCAATGTACATCTATAAAATAATGCATAAACTAACACAACTTGTTTATAGTAAATGCAATATCCGATCTTGTGATAGTTATTTATTGAAGAGCTCCTACAATTATTCGATATCATCACCTTATGAAAGGAAGGTACCACTAGTTTTACACAAAGGAGGAGAGACAACTATAGGTGTAGTACAAGACTTTGATTCATTCATACCCGTTCGATTAAGAAGATTAGCAATATATTTACATTGAGATAATAATGTTTCTTTGCTTGTAACATCCAATTCAATTCCAAGGAAGTAATGAAGGACACCCAAATCATGAATAGAAAACTCATTCTTTAGCTTATCAATAACCCGAAATACTAGCTTGGGACAATAACCCATGACAATAATGTCATCAACTTAAAATTAAAAATACACAACATTATTGTTAGCTTGATAAATAAAAAGTGAACCATAAACCTTGGATGATACAAATTACATTGAATTTTAAAATGTAGCCAGCGAAGAAACCAAACATACAATGTTTACTTCAAACCATAAATAGAACGATTAAGCTTACACACATACTCTAGATGGATAGGGTTCGCAAATCCTTTTAGTTAGGTCATGGAAATATGTTCATCAAGGTGTCCATAGAGAAAAAAATTTAACACACCAAATTTTTGTATAAACCATGTGTTCATAGTTGCTAGAGTAAGAATAATATGAATGGTAGTTGCTTTGACAACCGGACTCGAATGTTTCTTTGTAATCTATATCCGGCTATTGTGTAAACCCTTTTTCCACCAAATATGTTTTATAGCTATCTATCCGGCCATCTTTGTTTCTTTTGATCTTATAGACCCACTTATTTTCAATAAGGTTAGCTTCCAAAGGTTTTAAAATCATAGTCCAAGTAGTATTAGCAAGTAGTAGCCTTTTGTCACGCACTATAATTCTTGGTTTGATTATAAGTATATGGTTCATGGGCATTAAAATTAAGATTAGATTTTTCTTTGAGAGTAAGATGAGCTTGGCATTTGGTCATGTATGGTTTTTGGTCGAAGTTGCATAAGATGTGTTTTGGCTATGGTAGATGTATTTGTGTCAATTTGAAAATTGGTAAGGTCGGCTATGGTGTTGAATCTAGGTGAGGATGAAGTATTCATATTTGGAGGGGAGAGAGTTGGGTGACAATGGACAAGATGAGTTGAAGTTAAATTAGGAGAGTTCAATATAGAAGAAGATGTAGGTGAAGTAGGTTGTGATGAGAATAAAGCGTATGATGGAGCAAGGAGGCATACTTTTTATTATTATTTAAATGTAAGTATATAAATCAAAAGATAACAGAAGCTGGAGAACCAGCTATAGTCACATATACGGGATATACAAGGGGATGGGAACAAGCTTTCAAAGAAAACTAAGCAAAAGAGCTAGAACTAGAAGGTTGTTTAAGGAACCCGACATTATAGATTCCAAGAAAAACCCATCGAGAAACCTATGCTAGCTAACTAGAACCATTTACAAAGGCTCAACAAAGATACAAAAATCTTATTGAGAAGATCGAAAGTTAACAATTTACAAAGCAACTATAAATGTAGCCCGAGATCGAATCAGTAGGAGCGAGGCCACCGAGGTGACAATCGGCATCCGGAAAACTACTAACCAACATTAAGGATAGTGTGGTCCTTCTCATGGAAGTGAAAGATCATGAAGAAGAGGACCCGAAACTTCCCGAAGAGATAGTCAATTGTTGAGAGTGAGCCGTCAAAAAGCCTCTTGTTACGCTCTTCCCAAATTAGATATACTCGTGATAGCCAATGAAACTCTTCTCATTCGGGCTTCTAGATTGTTCTGTCTTATTGAAAGACCTCGAATGGCACTCGGTGAGGGTAGACATTCTTCTATTAATTCTTAGCCAATGTCGAATCGGACCCCACGTACATGCTATCCAAGGGCACTCAAAGAATAGATGACGATGACACTCGAAGCTAGCCAACAAAGCGAATAATTAGTATCGTCTAGGACGAGTGTAGACGATAAGTCGTTTTGAGCTTTTCATTAACCACTAACCAAAGTACAAAGGTGTGCCGTGATAACGTCCATTGTTCCTAAACTACCCGAGTCCAATTAACCAAGACACTCGTAGGGCACATACAGATTGTAGGCGTTATAGATAAATCTCCATACCAACCGAGCATTATCCCCAAATTCCTCTTTTAGCTGGTCTCCGATAGAAAGAATGCCCTTCCACAAGGGCGATGTTGTCCTATTCACTTGGATGTCCCGAACCGAAGAATCTTTCAAGTAGAAATGATATAACAATTAAATCCAAATCGAGTCTCGTTTTGCGATGGATGTCCCAAAGTTGCTTGGCTAGGAAGCTTTAGTTGAGCGTTTTCAAGTCCTAGAGCGCCAAGCCCCCTTTTGTCTTTGGATAACTCAAGCACCTTCCAAGAAATCGAGTCTTGAATGACATTTTCGAATATCCCCTACTCAAAGGAAATTTTGTTAAATGTTGGTGATTTGAGAGATGACTGTAGATGAAAGAGGAAAGATGGATAACCGGAACCGAATAATGCCCGCGAGGACCGAACGCGAAGCTCAAGACGACCCGCATACATCGGATGCTTGCCCAACCGAGCTCGCATGATCGACTCTAAGCTCTATAACAGCGAAGAGAACTGGCCGGCAAAAGCCGATAAAGACTTAGTGGGACTTCGAGATATCCGAAGGGAGAGGTACCTTCTACAAACCCCGTATCTCGGAGGAGAGTCCGTTTAAGGTCGCCACTCGATTTC